TTCCTTTCCTATTTTTTCTTTTCATTTCTTGTTTCTCTGTGAATTTACTTTCTGCATTTTTGTCACTTTATCTTGGTCTCAAAGGTTTTGTCACTCTGTGTGTGTGCACATCAGACTGTGGTTGCAAACATCACCAGGCCATTCATTAAGCTGTAGCGATGGCATCATGTTAATGTGTCCACAGTAGACAGACAATACACTCAGAGCGCTTAATGCAATGAGCATGAAAAAGTGGACCTTACTGTGAAAGAATTCCATCAAAGACAGCATGTGGACACAATGAAGCGATCTCATAAAACCTAGTCATTATGAACAGAATTCTCAATGAAATGGTGTCTGCTTCTACATCTTTTGCTGTCTGCCTCTCTTTCTCACAGACAGTCTAAGTGTGCTTGTGATTTCCATTGCCCTCAAGGCACGTTGCCTATTCAGTGGATGTGGAGTCAGAAATGGTGGCAGACTGTGCTAAATCAGGCTAAACTGGCTTTACCCACCATGTGCCACAACTAAAACTCCCATAAGCTTACAGACGTGCACACACACACACACACACACACACACACACACACACACACACACACACGTACATAGTTGGCGCACAAACACGCATGCCTGTTTTTCATGTATTCATTTTAGTTTTCTCAAGCATTACCCTCATGATGTACCTGAGCTGGAAAGAACAACCAAATCTGGAGTTAACGCTTTAAATGGCAAACTGCTGTGTCTTAATAAACATGTACAGAGTGAGTCTGACAAAAACACCTTGATAGAGCAATTTAACCTATTTCTGGGAGCCGCCAAAATACAAGGACTAGAACAAAATACAATAAAATGAAATGGGATGGAATAGGTTAGGATAGGGTCATTTACAAATAGAAAATATGAAATGAATCTCTCTTTGCAGCTGCTAATCAGACATCACAGTACATATATACATTACACACACAAAATATTGCACATGGGCAGCTGCACTTGGTCTCATTGTAAATGTAATGTACAGTATTTGTGCATATGCATCTTCCAGGTGTCCAGTGTGCAGGCACGGACCGCACAGCTGTCTTGGGCACCCCCGGCAGGGCTGGTGAACAGGCATAGTAACGGGATGCCCGTGTCCTGCTCTTACGAAGTCTCTCTCTCAGATAAGGGACGAGATGGAAAGTATCGCCTCGTGTACAGGTAGGAAACGCAGTCCAAGCTAAAACAATCCACCATTAGCCACAAATACACCTCAAGTTAGCACAATCCAAAGATAGTGGTGTGAGTTTTGTTTTGTCTGTGTGTGTTTCAGTGGTGAAGAATTGGAGTACCATCTGAAGGACCTAAGGCCAGCGACAGACTACCACGTACGGTAAGGACTCATCCTTTTTAATGTCATTTATTCTACTTGTGCGCCTGTATTTTTACAGTGTGGTTTTGTGTGTTAGGTTTTTGGGGTTGTCCATATATTGGTATTCAGGACAATCAATCTTCCAAACACAAGTTTTCTAATGTTTTTAAATGCTTGCTTGTGAATGCTTCAGGGTGTCAGCGATGTACAACTCGGTTCGGGGCTCGTGTTCAGAGGCTGGCTCGTTCACCACACACTGCAGCGTCCCCGATGCCCCGTTACCCCCGAAACTCTCCCACCGCTCCAAGAGCACCCTTACCATACAGTGGAAGGTACAAGCAGAGGCATTTTTGTATTAAGCCACAGTTTTTTAATCTCAAAGACGGCTAATAAAGCACATCATCACAGTAATCATTAGCTAATATTAGTTAGCATTCAGATTAGTCTTGATTGTACATGAAATTATTCTGAATCACTCTAACGCTACCAAACTCGGGATTCTTTTTATCTAGTCTAGTGTGTCATAATCTACCAAACATTATTTGAACAGTGATACTCGACTCCTAGTGTCAGTGATCAGTTATCCAGACAGGATATGAGGCCAGTCATAAAAACACAGCAGGTATTTTGTCCGTCTCAGGATCCTTTCTCCTTGGCTAATCTTTACTTGTCTGCAGCCCCAGGGCGACAACGGATCCAAAATCACAAACTACCTGCTCGAGTGGGATGAGGCAAGTCTTGCTATTCATGTCTGTCATCAGTCATGCTTTCCCTTTATTTTAATAAGCACTTAACACCCATCACAGATGTAAAGAGAGAACCGAAGCAGTTCACCTCTTCAGATAAGATGTAATAAGTCTGAAGTGTGCTTTCATTCTCTCAGCTCTTTATACTTTTACACTTTCTCATGCCGTTTGTTCCTCATCTATTTTACTCTTTAATCTTTTACTCCAATTAATCTATCTCATCTCCTCTGCAGGGAAAGAAGAACAGTGTTTTCAGAGAATATTACTTTGGGAGCCAGAGACATTGTAAGCTGACACGACTGTTCCCTGCCTGTGGTTACACGTTTAGGGTGGCCGCTCACAACGACATCGGCAGAAGGTACTGTTGTTACCCATGTCTGAACACACAAACACATATGTTTTATACACACACAGACATGCACTCAAGCGAACGATGTTGGAAGTTAAAACTCTTTCTTATTCTTTTTTCATATACTGTAATGTAGGATCAGTGATTTATTAAAATACGTGACAGCTTTTCACATGAGAACCTGATGGTTGGCTCTTAAATAATGTGAGATGTGAGATTTTAGTATTAGCAACCTTGCACTCGTATAGTTACTCTAGCAGTCAGCCACAGCATGCTGAAAGTTGTATCAACTCAAACACCCAGTGTTTAGACAGAGATGCACAATCATGCGTATCTGTGGCTGTTCTACATGTGACATGAATCCTCTCTCATTTTTTACAATTTCCTCTCTTCTCTTGTTTCCTCTTTGTCATTATGGCGGGGAGTATCTTGCCTGCAGTCATTGGGGTGACAGGGAGAGGGGAGGAGGTGATAAAGGGGAGTGAGAGCGAGGGACTCAAAGCGGTCTTAATGCATCCTTTAGCTCAATTCCCCTTTGAAATTCTGGATGCATATACCTTCACAAACATACACAGCACACGCAAGCTTTTTGGTTACTTGATATTTTTCTTATTTCAAAAATGTTTTCTAACCTCTTAGACCTCTGCTGCTGGGTACATGTTCAAATTCTTGCCTTCCTTTTCTGTTGGGCTTCTAATGTGTATATATCTTCCCGTTGTCACAGCCCTTTAGGTTTCTTCTCCTTTATGTCTCCACTGGAAGCTCTTCAAGCTCGCTGTCATCTTCATTTGCAACCTCACACACTCATGTACTTGCTTCAAATGAGCGCTGTTGTCATTTTAAATAAAAAAAATTTCAATGAAATGGAAATGTGCTTGTGCTTGATTTAGTGGCTTCAGCACAGAGGTGGTCTTTTATACCATGGGCACGCTGCCTGCTCTGCCTCTGGCGCCACGGCTGGTCAGGGCAGGGGTGTCCTGGGTGACCCTGGAGTGGGGGCGTCCTGAGGGCAGTCCAAGCGAGGAGCAGCTCAAATACACACTTGAGATCCAGGAGGACAACAGCGTGAGTACCACACACTCATATGCACCTGTTATTATATGTAGACATTTAAAGCGATTCTTTTTTTGTACAGAAGACACAGAGCAGTAAATCCTATAATACAGAGGCACACAAAAAGCCAGTATTTATGCATCTGTATCCTCCAAAATGTACATCTGTGTTATGCTGATTGGACCACTGACACATACAGTCTACTGATGGTTTGTATCCCACAGGGAACAGACTTTCATCCAAAGTACACTGGAGAAAACTTGACCTGTACTGTACAAGGCCTGAAGAGGAGTACACAGTATAAATTCAGGGTAAGTTATGACTGTGAATGTTGGTAGGTTTGTTTTTGCTCATGTAACTGCTGGCTCTATGTGTGTAGCCTCAGAAGGACCTTATTGTAAAGAGCATGATATATAATGCTGCATACAGTCATTAAGATTGAACTCTTCTCCCTACTTTTGTTTCACTATAAATATTTTAAAAGAATAGTTAGGAAATGGACTCATCTGTTTCTTGTTGAGAGAAAGATTGATATCACTCTCATGCTAAGTATGTTACAGCAAGTAATTGGATAGTTTTGTTAAGACTCCAGGAAACCAAATTGCCCAGCCTACAAATAGTCAGGTACTGTAGTAAAACCAGAACACAGTGCTACACCTCAGCTGTACAAATTACACAAACAATATTTAGCTAGCCGTGCCCTTGGTGTTCAATCTGATGAAAGGCAATCCTGGATTATTTGACTCGTTTTTGGTCAGTGATGCGCCTGTACTGTTAACATTTAGATAAAATGTCTCCATGGACACCTGCTATCTAAGTGTCTTTGAGTGGTAATACAACATCCATAAGTCTAGGAAGGAATACAGTGTTTTGCCTCCAGAGAACTGGTTGCAATTTGTCCAGTAGTGAAACGGTTCACTAACCATTTAGCAAGCAAACAACACTGTCTGGCTCTACTAAAAGCTGTGATAGTTGTTGATGAAGTGAGGACAATGTGAAACAAAATGTTCTGACAGGAGACTCTACACAAGTGTGTTTGCATGTGTATTATTGCCTGTGTGTACCTTGTTCTCAGCACTCTGTTTTAGTGCAGTCATCTCAAGCAACATCTTGCAGTACATGGACTTTGACACACGCCCTCACTCAAAACTGAGACAGCAGCTGTTTTTAAGACTACCACACAGAAAACAACTCTGTGTTCTTTGTGTTAGCCATCTGGCATGAACATCTGGGAATGAATAAAAGTGATTGTACACTGGATGGGGGTAATGGAGTGAGTAAAGTGAATAGAAATGAAGGCAGAGGAGTCAGGAGAATAACAGATAAAGGAGCAGAGGCCGTTGGCTCCTGTTAATCTGGACTGTTACTGTACTTTGTAATAGATTTCTCTGTACCTCTCATCTAATCATGCTGTCAGTCTGTTTGGTCTCAGACTCCACTCATTGTTCACCTTGCACTTTCTTCCTTTAACCCTCCATACTGTCCTTTTGCCTCTCTACAGCTCATAGCATCGAACCTGGAGGGAAAGTTCAGACAAACCAGGCGCTCCATCCACACCTTGTGTCACCGCAACAACGCCCTATGGATTCACCGTGACATGGGGTAAACAAACATGCAAATGTATTGTGTGCTGGCACACAGGAGGACAGTGTTCATGATATATATACACTTGCACATACTTTAATACACACTTAAAAGGTGTGAGTGGAAATGCACACATGCACAGGAAATTTCCACAACATGACCACCAAAAGCAAAAATTTAAAAGTTTACAGTTTCAGACTTGATGAAGTTGCTAAATGCCATGAAAAGTCTCAATTTATAACATGTGAATGTGTGATGTGTTGTAATTTTATAGATTTTGCACTAACAGATTTAACTGTCTTTGTCATTTTAGTCATATGTTTTCCTAAAGCCACAAAAACCATATTGGAAATGAAATTTTCCCTGTGTTCTCTAGATCATGGTGTTTATACATGATGTTAACCCAATCTAAAATCAATCCCTCAATTGCTCCAATAGATCCTCCACAGGACAACGGGGGCTCAGAGGCTCTCACGTACCTGCTAGAGATCTCAGAGGAATGCTCCGAAGGTACGAGCTACATTTGTTTGTCCATCTATCTATCCGCGAAACACATTCAGCTAATTTGTTTCAATGATAAGTCCATTATCTTACAGAACAAAGTTCAAAATGTACCAATCTGTCCACTATCCCATGTGGTTGTTCTCTCTGCTGTGGTGGTGCAGTATTTTGCACACTTTAGGCTAATTTGGGAGACGTTTAGTACATATCCCATTAAATGTTATATTTAAAGAAACATCAGAACCACATTGCACATCTGTATATTATCTCCCTCCCTCCTCCATTTTTCATTTTCTCTGTCCTGTATGCCTTCTCATCTCTCACTGAGTTGTACCAGTAGGTGCAGTGGTGAACCCTCAAGATGACCCTGACATTGTGTTTGCTGTGATTCCTCATATTAATTGTGTGTGCATGTGTGTGTGGTATTATCACTCTCAAACAGATGTTTGGATGAACTCTAAGGAAATATATTTAGCAGGCAGTGAGCTCTGTCTTTTTGATGTCTGTAAATAACCCAAGTGTATGGATTATTGTACATACACCCCCATCTGCTTCTCTTGTGAAAATTGCTCTTTGTGCTGTGGTGTAAACAGGACCTATATAAATCAAATCAAATCAAATTTTATTTGTATAGCGCCAAATCACAGCAAAAGTCATCTCAGGACACTTTACAAAGTAAGGTCTAGACCTTACTGTTATCAATATTATTACATAGGGAAAACCCAACAAATCCCCCTTGAGCAAGCACTGGGCGACAGGGGGAGGAAAAGCTCCGTTTAACAGAAGAAACCGCCGACAAATCCCGGCTCTTGGTGGGCGGCCTTCTGCCTCGACCGGTTAGGGTGAGTGGATAAAGGAGAGACAAAAGAAGAAAAGCAACAAGACACAACAATCAAACACTGATCAGGTTGATGTGGCTGGTGACTGCTCGTCACAGACGTAGAGCTCCAGGGTCAGGGCAACCTGCAGAAAGGTACAGGGAGAGAGAGAGGACACACTACAGGAGAGAGGAGACACAAAGTTAGTAATGTGTAATGGAGGCATATAGAAGCATAGGGAGAGAGAGGAGAG